GTCAGGACTTCTGGAACTTTGTGATGTCACAACAAAGCAGTCACCAAGCCCCGCCCACCTGGACCCACCATCCAAACCTTGCAGGATTTGGTTTCTCTGAGTGTTTTTACCTGAAATCTGCTTTATTTTTATTGGATCACTCAGAAAACAGTCAGCCAAGTTTTTGGTTCTTAAAACCACAAATATATCTTCTTATGGATCAACACTTCAAATAAAACACAGAAGAAGAAGAAAATATGGAGCTTTAAAGTAAGAGAAAGACAATAAAAATATGAATGAAATAGGATCCAGGAGTTCCCTTGGAGTAACAATATCCTCTCAATCACATGACAGGGCTCACACCAGGCTGACTTTTCCTCTCCCAGTACCTTATACCTGATCTGATACCTGAAAACAAGATGGTACGTCTCAGGGGATTTTCCTTTATGAGCCGTGACACAGTGATAAATAAGGCACATGTGGACCACGGACTTCTGTGGCACTGCAAATTGAGTCAGCGGTCCACTGAGATTAAGAATCTCTGTTTCAAGGGAGAGCTGGCGGCAGCATAAATAAAAGCACAAAGCTGCAGGAGGAAAACAGGATGGGAGGGAACTCACGTTTCGAGGTTTCAGCTTCATCACAAGGCGAGTTAAAATAATGATCTTCTCAATAATCTTAAAGAATCTGACTCCAGCTCTTTATTTTTGGATTTAACGATACTGATGAAGAAGCTGTTTAATGTGGATCAGTCACATCTGGCTGATAACGATCCACTTAGGTCAGTATATACATGTATGTATATCTATATATGTGCGTAAAGCATGGGCGAAATGTGATCTATCATGTGACCCGTGTAGAGAACTGCAGTGATTAAACTGAAGCACATCTAGTCCGTTGAATACACGAGACGAGACAGACGAGTGGAAAACGCAGCTGCCAATCAGGGAGAATTAACATCCTACAATTACAAAAACACTCAGGGTTTGTTTCCAGGTCCAATTCTGATCCGCTTCAGATAAGTTTAGAGGCAACACCAACTTTCTTCAATCATTTTACAGACAGTAATGTAGAAATCAATCAGCTCATAGCCGACAGCGACCATCATCATCACTGGTTTAAAGGACAAATATTGTTGGTAACTGGTAATTTGCCAAAACCAACTTGGCTATTGTCTGGTTAATATTCCCGGTTAAGAACAATATTTCGGAGTGTGACTCAAACTGAAGCGTGTCTTTTCCCTCTCAGCTCTAATAAGGTGATTCCAGATCTAAATTAAGTCTTTGAGTTTTAGTTTTTTTACAACTTTAATTACATACAATGTTAAACCTAACATGAATGGACTGGATCAATAAATGGACCACCACTAACAGCCTCCCTTTGCCCCCCCCCCCGTCATTCAGATATAAAGAACAAGGTCCAAAACCACTCGCTGAGCCGTCATTGGATCAACATGATGCCACCACCACCCC